TGTTTGTCATTTCTCCGATCACAAATGCAGACATGGTTTTATGTTTACACGGCGCGATGCAACGCAACGCGTAAAAAGACAGTATAAGTCATTATAATCAGTAATTATGTCCCCACTGGATGCAACAAATGCCTCGTTTGTAATGGGTTTGAATGTTTTTGTCTCATCGCTCCGGCTGGGACACGGCATCAACAGTATGGTGGTGAGGGGAGTAACATTTCCGTCACACGCTTGAGGTATTCGGCCAATCACAATGCACTGGATAGCTGGCCAATCAGAGCACACCTTGCTTTTCAGACCGATGAGCTTTGTAAAAATCGACGCGTTTCAGAAAGGCGGGGCATAGAGGAGAAACAATAATGTACAGTATGTGGAAAATAATGTGTTTTTTCTTTAAACCGCATAAACATTTCATTTCTCCAAATAATGTTCTTTTTAGCAACATCATATGACCCCTTTAACAAATTAATCATTAAAGGTGCTGTACGTAGGATTGACACCGAGTGGTTGAACTAGGTTTTCCAGTCCAAATTCAAAATATTGGAGAGTTTTTTTTTTCACCGGCCCCTCCTCTTCAGACTTGACGCACACGCAGGTTGCCAGAATGACGACACCAACACTTTCGTTTGCCAGCTTCCATGACTGAAATGAAACAGGCTGTGTTTCCCACCAAACGGCAACCCGGGGTTGGGGTGCCGAGATACAATTGGGTAAACTGGCAGTGGGCGGGTTTCACAAACCAAAACAAAGCTCGACATTCCGGCCCGGAATGCACATTTTCAAAGGAGAATAACTGATTGTAGCATTGTGTTTCAGATAAACATGTATGTTAACTTAGCATGTTTCTTAAATACTAATATTATGGTATTTTGATGCTTTAGTAGAGTCAAAAATGTACATACAGCACCTTTAAAATCCACCAACTTGTCTTGGAATGTTGCATTATTGTAAAAATAAATATGAATTACTGCTAAATATTATTTTAAAAATAAAACGACAAAAGCAGATAAAATTACTAAAGCTTAAACTAAAATAAATACAAATTAAGGTGAAATAAGTATTAAAAACAATATTCGTAAAACTTGAAACAATACAAGTTGAGGCTAAATGTAAATATTTGTAAAAAAAAAAAGTAATAATGACACAAGCACGTAAGAAAAATTACTCAAATTTAAATTTAAATAAATATTTTTTAAAAGTTCTTGGAAATCAAGGTTTGGAAGCATATCTTTTTCTATCATTTTTATAAGTCATTTTAATATAGTTTTGGTTCAAATGACTTGTGCAGGCAATTGGACTTTTATACTAAAAATGATAAACTATCTCAAGTTTTTTAGTTGAAGTAGGTGGATTTTTTACAGTGTTGATCATTTTAGTGTTTTTTTTTAATGTGTGTTAATATTTTAAAAAGTGTACTCTATGTGCTTTCATACAGTCTTGCAAAACAAACTGATGTATTTAATTATTTACTTATCTCATTTTATTATTTTAATTATTCATAAAATAAATTAGAATATTTAACTTTTTGTTTAAGTAATTATTAACCGATTTAATTATTTCATATTGAGGACTTTGGTCCTAAATGCACCAAATGACATAAAGGTTACAACATCTTATAAAAAAAATTTCCTCCCACATTTTCCTAACGGCCTAATTGTTTGTCATGTGAATTTATTCTATGCATTTATGCCGTTTTGTTTACCTTTTTCCAATCAAATACGCAGCAGATCAGAGCGAACCCTATAGCACGATTTTCTGCCTCTATTTGACTTTGGCATGCAAAAGACTGATAAATTCATAATTAATGGCATGGCTGGTTCAGTCGCCCCATCCCATATCTCACACATTCATATGCATCTAATCGTGCATATTAAAGTGCATGAAGCTTCACATATGTTTAGTTGAGGATGGAGGAAGTTGGAGCTGATCAGTGCATCTGCACCACTCCTTCAGCTCGGAGCCCAAAGCACGAGACACTCAATCGCAAAGCATCGCATCGCACGCGCCCCCTCGCCGCGGCGGTACTCACATCTTTCTTGGGGATTTTGGGAGTGGTGTTCTTATATTTGGACGTCTTGAAGCGATTCATGCTGAGCTGCTGGCCGCGCGTTTGAACCTTCCGGGTGTCACGCTGTTGTGATGATCGCGACGCGTGCGTTTGAATGAGTGCGTCTCTGTGACGCAGAGCGCAGATCTACAAACCATCCTCTCTCTCTACAAGCGCTGCAGCAAATCACGTGTCAGACAAACAAAAACGCGGCCGGGATCCGTAGTTTCCGCCTTCTTCTTCTTCTTCTTTTGGAGTTTTATGGTGGTTGGCAAACAAACGATAAGTGCATTCCCGCCACCTACTGAGCTGGAGTGTGGACCATTGATGGAATAGGAAGAACTAAATAAATAAATAAAAGAAACCCTTCTAAATCCTGTTAAACATATCTACTTTTTTAAGTATGTCATTAAAGCATTATATATTTTATAATGATTCAAGCCATTATTCAACAAAGTTTTAAGTGTAGTATTTTCTATCCCCATTTCTTTGAATTCTTCCAACAGAAATGCTCTTTCATTATGTAGTTTCCGCCTATGGGCACTACCCCTATATAAAAAAATTAATTAAATTGGCAGCAAAGTATTTTTACCCTTTTTAGCCTGAAATACCATACTACATCTTAAAAAACATCAATAGTAGTAACAGTATTTAGAGTAACTGTGGTATTTTGGTCAAAAATAAATGTTTTCTAGATTTTTTTTTGGACCATTGATGGAATAGGAAGAACTAAATAAATAAATAAAAGAAACCCTTCTAAATCCTGTTAAACATATCTACTTTTTTAAGTATGTCATTAAAGCATTATATATTTTATAATGATTCAAGCCATTATTCAACAAAGTTTTAAGTGTAGTATTTTCTATCCCCATTTCTTTGAATTCTTCCAACAGAAATGCTCTTTCATTATGTAGTTTCCGCCTATGTGCACTACCCCTATATAAAAAAATTAATTAAATTGGCAGCAAAGTATTTTTACCCTTTTTAGCCTGAAATACCATACTACATCTTAAAAAACATCAATAGTAGTAACAGTATTTAGAGTAACTGTGGTATTTTGGTCAAAAATAAATGTTTTCTAGATTTTTTTTGTCACACATCGTGTTCCCGTGTTCAGCCTGGAGGGGCCTCCCGATCCAGAGTTTAGCCCTGAAAGCCCGGAGGCTCACAAATGCCTCCCCCCTGCTCCTGCCTCCACCACTGTCGTTTGGCAGCCCCTCTGCTCGCCGTCAGCCCACCATCAATACGGTGCGAGCTCCGCGGGTCTGCCATCCTCCAGCATCGCCATGGCTGGAGAATCCCTCACCTCCGCCTCCAGCCTCCGAGGCCCGGACACTGCCTCGGCCCGTAGACCCAGCGGCTCCACCTCGGTTTCTAGCTCCCTCGCCTCCACCATCACCCATCGATCCATCAGCTCCACCGGGCTCCCTCGTCCCTCCGGCTCCACCTTGGTCGGATGTCGACCCGCCATCGCCTCAGGACTCCGCTCTTGGGCTCCTTCCTCCCGCCAGCTCCACCTTGGTCCTCAGTCGCTCTGGCTCTGCCGTGGATCTCCGGATCTCTGCCTTAGTAGCCAGAGCCCTCGGCTCCACCCTGGCCCCTCGGATCCCCGGCATCCCCCTGGCTCGTTGGCTCTCCTTCTCCGCCAACCTGCTCCACCGCCGTTGGTCGGCCCCCTAGAGTCGGCGGTCATTCCTCCTCCATGGCTCCTCCCTCCGTCGGCTCCACCGTGGGTCGCCATAATGGCTGTGGCCTGGGTCCTGCTTGGCTCCTCCTGCTCCGGGCCCCTCCTGTCTCCTCCCTGGATCCGCCCTCCTTCGTCGCCTCCCTGGTCTCTGTCTGCCGGCCCCCTCCCGGGTGTCCGTCCTCCTCCTGCGCCTCCTCCCAAGCTCCCACCTATGCCTACATCTGTTGTGGTTACGGTGTATTTGGTCATGTTCCTGTCCTCGTTTAGTTTGATTATGTTCCATTGTCACCTGTGTTCTCCTGATTGCCCTGTGTTTAAAAGTCCTAGTCTGTTCAGTTTGTGTTTGTCAGGTCTACTTGTTCTCTACATGTGTTGGCTCAAGCTCCTATTGTGGATTATCTCCTGAGTTTCCTTGATTAAAGACAGTTCTCGTTTACTCGTGCCTCCTGTACTTCCTCAACAGCGTAATGTGACTGTGTGTGTGTGTGTGTGTGTGTGTGTGTGTGTATATACTATTTAATGGTGAATTTATATCTGCATCTATGTTCTGGAATTTCATTATTATTATTATTATTATTATTATTTCAGTTAAGACAATAACCTTTCTTGTTGGAGAAATATCTGAAATGAGTCTAAAAATGGTAGTCATAATGTGTGAAATAATATCTGTGCATTTTACAGATAAGAACCGTGCTGCACTGTACTTGTATTTTTATGTAATTTATTTGTATTATTCGGTCCATTTCTTGTTTATTTTCTTTTCGTTCGATTTTGAAACATGAAAGTTATTCTAACCTTCAATTACTCTTTTTAATTAATTTAATGAATGAATTCAAATATTTAAAAAATTGAATATGCTTGTATAACGCATTTTTAATTATATTGACTTTGCATTGTATATGGTATTTCCCTGTTTTGTGTTTAATGTTGGGATGAAGTCCTCAACTCTAACTTCATCTTCACGAGCCCGTCCACTCTACTCAGCTCAGTTCATTAGGATAGGATTGGCTAAACTAACCAAGAATCTCGCCGCTCGCACATGCGCAGTCGCTCTCTTGTCGGTGAGTGAGTGGCGAAGATGGCGTGCTCCGCGCGCTGGATGGCGGCTGCGGTGTCCTCGGGTCACAGACGGGCCTGCTCTCCTCTCCTGTCCAGCGCGGATGAAGTCCGTAGGAGCATCTCGACGCTGTCGGGCCGCCGGGTGTGGACTGCGGTGACACTGAGAGGCATGACAGGTGAGAGACAGAGGCCTGAGCATCAAACCACACACACACTGCTGCTAACTCTGAGTTCAACACATGCGGTTACAAATCAGATCTGATATGCATTCAGCTTCATATGACACAGATGACATGATGGTGCAGCCATTAAACGTTCAACTCTAAAGCAACAACACATGCACACGTGATCAAGAGCTGCCTAATCAATAGGTTTTTTTTTAGGGTTCTGTAGTTGCTACACTTCATGTTACTGTATTAAAACAGTAGTAAATATGCTGTTCATAATAGTAATGAGAGTGTTGTGTGTCACAGCGGTGAGCCCTTCTTCTCATGTCATCTGTAAGATGTGGTTCCACACCAGCTCTCCTGCCAGAAAACAGGATTTCTACCAGATCCTAGCAGTTCCACGCACAGCCACGCAGAAGGAGATTAAGAAAGCTTATTACCAGGTAATATACTAGACACCTGGCTGCTGTGTGTTTGTCTTCTTATTGTGAATATAGACCGGGGCTAGTTGTCACAAAGATGCTGTATTTTAGAAACTATGATTTGAGTTAGAAGTATAATCACACAAATACTAGCAGCGATGCACGTTTCATACATATCAATTATTAACATTTTCTATTGGACATAACAATGGTTTCGTACTTTTTTTTTTTTGCTGTTTTGTTATAATTTATTTATAAATAAAACAATAAACAGATAAAAATGGTCCTTATAGTAATTAAAAATAGTATATAATACCTTACAATGACTGTTGTACTCTAGATAGTAGATTTTATATAAGAAAATAATATTCTTCACAAATCATTGTTAATAAAGCAGGTTTGCAGGTAGTACTAAATCTATTTGTAATAATCAAAAAAAAATTTTTTTTTAGTATTATACTTTTTAAAATAAATTCTGTGTTTGCTGATATTGTAAATATACATTTTGGCCTTTTAAAAAAAATTTTTTTTTTTACAGCATTCAAACTAGAGCCCGACCGATATGTAACAAATAAAAAAAAAAAGTAGACAACATCACTGATTATAATGGGTTTTATTCTACACCGGATGCGAGCGGCAATAGAATTCTATTGTATTTTGTCGATGTGATGTGACCGATGTGATAAGCATGAGTTCTGGGCCGCGGCGCGGCCGGTAAACACCGGCATTGAGTGGCCACGATCAGCTCCGGTGGCCGTATCACAGGCTTTAATGCGCCGCAGACGCGTGCCCTGATGCGTAGATCAGCTCTAGTCCCTAACGTCACTGAATCTGCTGTTAAAAATGAGCCATCCATTCATCATATCATCATGCAAAACTAAGAATTAGAATCGTTGCAATGTGACGATCAAATATAGGTGCAACCGTGCGGGTGGATCATTTGAAGCAGCGGACTCGGGTGAAGTTTGAGCTCATCCGTGCATCTCTACACTACACTGACCTGGGTCGACAGTAGCAAACAATAGCGCCAGTAGCGCTCTGCTGGACATACTAAGTAATTACACCATTCAGAAGCATTTAATCTGCGTTATATGTTCTGTAAAAAAAAATCATATCGGCGGCATATTCGCCGATACCGATAATCTGGGACAGGCTCATATCGGCCGATAATATCGGCTAAATGATATATCGGTCAGGCTCTAATTCAAACTAAAGCTTAACATAATAAACAGCAGATTTCTATTTTCAACATTTAGATGAAGTATTGACTGGAGTAAAAAGTGTGACGACTATTTGCAGTCTCATTTTTGGCATTTGACAGTTTGTGTTTTCCCTCATTCAGATGGCAAAGAAGTATCATCCAGACACTAACAAAGACGACCCTCAAGCGAAGGAGAAGTTTGCACAGCTAGCTGAGGCCTATGAGGTTTGAAGCGCTTGCTCTGTGAAAGCTTGTTCTGGCATCGGTGTGGACTGATGAGCAAATTAATGAATGTTTTGTCGTCAGGTGCTCAGTGACGAGGGGAAGAGGAAACAGTATGACACGTATGGCTCTGCCGGGTTTGACGCGGGTCAGGCCGGTGCGGGACACCAGCAGTACTGGAGCGGAGGGAGCAGCATCGACCCCGAGGAGCTTTTCCGCAAGATCTTTGGCGAGTTTTCCGGAGCTCGAGGCTTTGGGGATTTCAACGCCATCTTCGATCAGCCACAAGAGGTCAGATGTGGTCTCCTCTGGAGATATCTAGTGGATTCTGATTGAATTGTGAAGGCGAGCAGTCAGATTGGAGCATGCTGTTGATATTTTTGTGTTCAGTATACACTGGACAATTAGGGCTCTATGAAATCAGTTTTATTTTTCCCAGATTCTATTTTACCCCCCCCCAGTTTTTTGTTTTTGTTTTACAAAATTTTGTTTTGAAGTTATGATTCCCTGTTATTTATATATATTTTGTTTTTATTTATTTTATTATTATACTTTGTTTATTTTATTTTATTTTTTCCAAATTAATTTTCTGAATTCCATTTTAATGGTTTCATTCAATTTGAGTCATTATGATGTCTAATTGTATTCCTAAAACTTCACAAATTAATCAATACTTTAAAATGCAGTTCAATTAAAAAATATCCATTCATTTACAATAAAACACTGCATTATTGTATTTATTTTTGGGGGTGTCAAATAAAGTTCATTTAAAACTTGGATGTTAAAATCTCATAAAATAATATACTACTAATAATAGTTATAATAACAATTGCTATTTTTAATTAATATTTCTTTGAAAAGTAAATTTAATATACAATAGTGATAAATTTCATAATATATTATTAATTAATGCACAAAATATTAATAGCATTTTATAATAATTCATAGTTAACTGGACTTTTATTTTTGCTGATTGTCACGAAAACCGTTGAATTTCAGTTTGACTTGCCAGTATGATTTATTCAACTGCAGTGGCAAAATGCTCTTTAAAACTGCCGAGACATGCAGAACATGAACATATTTAAATTTATTTATTATATATTCAAGAATTTAATAATTACTGACGCTCTTTTATATCATTGTTTGAATTCGATTTATTGTGTAGCCTTGCTTCATATATTTCAAAATGTGTCAATTTCAATGACATCCTGCGCTATACAGTAAATTAAATTTTTATAGAATTTCCAGGGGTTCCACAATTCTGTCTGCATTTCCAGCATCATTGAAATCATAGAGCCCTAGATGCTCAATGAACCCTCTGTTCTGTTTGCTAACAGTATGTGATGGAGCTCACGTTCGCTCAGGCTGCCAAAGGAGTGAATAAGGAGATGAAGGTCCACATCGAGGACACGTGCCAGCGCTGCAGCGGCAGAGGCCATGAGCCCGGATCCAAAGTCCAGCACTGCGGCAGCTGCAACGGGACAGGCATGGTAAGTGACGCCCTTGAGCGCATCAGCTCATTTAGACGTGTCTGATGACTGGGCATCTGTGGTTTATCCCTGCAGGAGACAGTGAATACGGGGCCCTTCGTGATGCGCTCCACCTGCCGGCGCTGTGGTGGGAGGGGCTCGGTCATCACCTCGCCCTGTACGACGTGCCGCGGGACGGGACAGACCAAACAGAGGAGGACCGTCACGGTGCCTGTTCCTGCTGGTGAGTTAGCTGCTTCTTTTCAGGCTTCAGGGAATGGATTGAGTTTTGAGGGTTTGTTTACTGTGATGTTCAGGAATCGAAGATGGGCAGACAGTCCGAATGCCTGTGGGGAAGAAAGAGATCTTCATTACGTTCAGAGTGAGTACATCACCACTGTTTTCAGGTTTCAAAAGCATGCATTTAGCGATTACATTTAAAGGGTTAGTTCACCCAAAAATGAAAATTAGGCCATTATTTACTCACCCTCAAGCCATCCTAGGTGTATATGACTTTCTTCTTTCAGATGAATCCAGTCGGAGTTATATTAAAAATGGTCTTTGATCTTTCAAGCTGTTTAATGGCAGTCAGCGGGTGTTGCAGTGCATCAGTCCAAAAGAAGTGAAATAAAGCGCATCCATCCATAATAAAAAGTGTCTCACATGGCTCCGGGGGGTGAACAAAGTCCTCCTGTAGCGAATCCATGCGTTTTTGTAAGATAAATAACCATATTTAAAACGTAATAATCAATTTAATCTAGCTTGCGCTCACTGTTGTACACTGGAAGCAGCTCCGGGTGGATGACGTAAGACGTCGGCTTTGCGCATGCGCCGCTCAGAAGTGACGAACACGGAAGCGCAGCGGAGAGATCAAAACAAACAACGGTCACTAATTAGAAGTACAAAACGAGGATTTGTAAAGAAGAATGTCGGAGGATTTCAATATAAGCCAAGAGGAGACTGGTTTTCCTTTGCTAAAGTAAGGAAACTTTGCTTCCTTTGATCCTGTAAACAAACGTTGGTTTTCACGAGACTCACCGGCGCATGCGCAACGCCGACATCTTACGTCATCCTCCCGGAGCTGCTTCTGTGTACAACTGTTGGAGCAAACTACATTAAAGTGATTATTACGTTTTGAATATGGATATTTTTCTTACAAAAACGATTCGCTACAGGAGGACTTTGGGGAAACACTGCATATTATTCAATATTTTAATTTGAATGTCGGATTGAAATGAACGCTATTATTAGAGTAGTTAATCGTTAGCCTAAGCGCGGCTAATGCTAATATAATGAGCATATGAATGAAGTTTCTTTATTAACTATTTAATGCTCCTATAACTTTTATTAGGGTAAAAAAAACAGGAGGACATGATGATATTTACTATTTTTACACACCAGAGGCTTTTAAATAATTAATTGTGAATCTAAAATATGCGTGTTAGAGAATTTACAAATGGTTAGCATTGTTTGTGTAATATCAGTCAGAAGTTCTGGGCTTTTTAAAAAAAATTTTTTAGCTGACTTAGTTGTTATTCTTGACTGAATAGCTCTAGGGTTTCAAAAGCCCTTTAAAATTAAATATGTACACATTTTTGGATTAAACGAAAGTAGTCAAATGTTTTAATTAGCATGTTTTTGTGTTTTGCTTTGGTACCGAAATTGGTACCGAAAACCGTGGATTTTCACTGGTATTGGTACCGAATACTGACATTTTGGTACCGTGACAACACTACTTGAGGGTGAGTAATTTATGGGCTAATTTTCATTTTTGGGTGCACTAACCCTTTGTCAACCAATCAGAATCAATAATTCTACAGCCCTGTAGTATATAAGAGTGTATATAGGTACAGTCGTATTCAAAACTCAAAGTCCATGTTCAAAATGTGTTTGTGTATATATGAAGAGTTTATTTGCAAAAACTGATGAATGCGGTTAAAAATGTAAAAAAAAAAAGAGCTGATTGCTGTACATTATTCTCCACATATAGCACGATCTGAACCCTAAACACGTTTAGTCAAAAAAGCCGGTATTGTCCACTTTCAAGCCGACAAGTGTCCTTGGTGAGGGAACAATGGTGAGGGAAAAGCTCCGTGTGTTGCGTGTAATCACATCCATACAGTTTATGATCACAACAACAACAACGTTTGTCCGGCATCTACATTGTCATCTGAGGAGATTACAAAGATTAAACGAGTGTTTTTGTTTGTAACTCTGAAACATGAAATGTGGAGTTATCTGCTTTTGCTATAAAACGAACTTTCAATATGTAAAAAAAAATAAAAAAAAAGTTTCAATTAACTTTAATTTTGTAAGTTACCTGTATTTAAGTTTAATTACTTAATCAAAACAACCCAACTGCAGTTTGATTGATATTTCTTGGAATGCACAATAAAAAAAAAAAACATGATTTCTGAAAATAAATAAAAATGGAGTTATCGGTTTTTGCAAATAAACTCTTCATATGTGGTTTTTATTTTATAATATTATTGTATTATAATACATTTCTTTAACATATAATATAACGTGTTATAATACATTTTTATTTTACAAATTTTTACATGCATATTAACATTTTGATAAAAAAAAATTCTATCTTTGCTGATAACTGGTGTTAAAAATGTACCGTTTTGACAGATTTATTTCTTTATAATTATCAGACTAAAGCTCCAATTTATTATTTTATTTGCTACCAGTAAAGTTTTTCCAAACATTTATAATTTACAGCAGAAAAGTGTTTAATACCTTTAAAATATTTGGGACAATTTATTTTATTTGCTTCTCATAAATTAGACTGATGCTAATAATGAAAATGAAGCTAATATTTGTTAACAATTCAGATATCATGTCTATATACCCATCTAAGTGATCTGTCGTGTGCCCTTGGCAGAGCTTTCTGTTCCTATTTAAGGACTTTTGGTACTTAATTAGTCTCTCAGTCTGAAGACTGACGTCTCTTTACAATGAATGGATTATGCAGGAACATTCTGGGCATGTATAACCCCAATCACATCCTCTGTGCTGTCTGTTTGCTTGTATATTTGACACTCATTGTCTGTGTTGTTGCTCTCAGGTCCAGAAGAGTCCGATCTTCAGGAGAGACGGTGCTGATATCCACTCTGATGTCATGATCTCTGTGGCTCAGGCCATACTGGGCGGCACGGTCAGAGCACAAGGACTCTACGAGAACATCAATCTCTCGGTGGGACATTAAACATGACCATATTGTAAAATTAAAGAAGCAGTTCACCTAAAATGAATTTATGAAAATGTCCTCACCCTCAGGCCATCCAAGATGTAGATGAGTTTGTTTCATTGGAACAGATTTGGAGAAATGTAGTGTTACATCACTTGCTCACCAATGGATGCTCTGCAGTGAATGGGTGCCGTCAGAATGAGAGTCCAAACAGCTGATAAAAACATCATAATAATCCACAAGTAATCCACACTGCTCCGGTCTCTCTGTTAACATCTAGTGAAGCGAAAAGCAAAATTAGGATGTTTTTACCTTCAAACTGATGCTTCTGGACAAAATATGAGTCCTCTATTCAAAATATTGCTTTCTCCAGTGAAAAAGTTATCTGGTCTGAATCAGGAGAGAAATATGCACAGATCGAGCACTAGTTACAAGTGTAAACAGTCCAAACAAGTTATGGATATGTTGGTGGATTTTAATATGAGAGGACAACAACGGATGGACTTTTTCCGATGGAAGAAACGTTATGGATTATAGACTCAAATTTTGGCCAAAGCAATGGTTTAAAGTTCAAACGTCTAGATGGATTTGGATGTATTTCTTTATAAGCACACAGTTTTTCTCTTCACAAGTAATTAACTGATGGACTGGAGTGGTGTGGATTATTGTGATGTTTTTTTATAGCTGTTTGGACTCTCATTCTGACGGCACCCATTCGCCGCAGAGGATCTATTAGTGAGCAAGTGATGTAATGCTACATTTCTCCAAATCTGTTAAATGAAAAAACAAACTCATCTACATCTTAGATGGCCTGAGGGTGAGTACATTTTCAGCAGATTTTCATTTTTGAGTGAACTACTCCTCAATTTGAGATATTCTTCTGCATATAAAAACAGTTATTCACTCAGTGAATGCTCTTGTAGATCCCATCTGGGATCCAGGCCGACCAGAGGATCCGGCTCTCTGGTAAAGGTATTCCACGGGTCAGCGGCTACGGTTATGGTGACCACTACGCCCACGTCAAGATCAAAATCCCAAAGTATATAAATTATACAAATGGACTTGTTTTGCTGCTGTTTAAGGTTAAAATGACTGATCCATTCATGTGTCTTCTGTCCAGGATGTTGACAGACCGGCAGCGAGCCCTCATGATGAGTTACGCGGAGGACGAGACCGATGTGGAGGGAACCGTCACTGGAGTGACCAGCACCACCGCAGGTACAGTCATCACTGGAGCAGTGCAGTAGATTAGTCATGTCTAGTATCTGAGGCCTAACGTTACAACCGGTACCTGTCCCTGTCCAGGAGGGGGCAGTAATCAGACCGGCACAGGACACAAACAGAAAGACCAAGGCTTTTTCTCCAAATTACAGAAAATGTTTAGCTCCTCCTGACAGCCACAAACCAGGTAGGCAGATTTGTTTTAAGATACAACTCCCTGAAATCATTTGAATGATTGTAAGGATTGGGAAAACCTGAATAAAGCACTATTTTAGAGAATCAGTACCTGGTTTGTGGCTGTTTGTGAATTCAGTACATTTTAATCATTTTTTTCACAGTGTAAATTTGGTCAAATAAGCACCTTTTAAATTTTAGGATTGGGATCTCTTGCGCTCAGGTGGACATCTGTGGCATTTAAAAGCCCTATTGGATCTCATAGATTCGTTCCTGTATTTGTTTGTTTTTACAGGTAAAAGATCCACTGGAAATTGAGACTTTAGTGGAGATTCAGATTCACGGTAAACCTGATGGACATAGAAGAGAAGCAAGCGAGTCTTCTGCTGCATTGAGTTCATCTTGAACGCTCCTCAGAAACTACAAATGATGAAGAGCTGTGGATGCATTATTGACTTCTAAGAGAAGATCCCAGAGGAATATGATCTACACACATGTACCCGTCTTACCTGAAACTGTGTGATATCAGCCTTAGCGCCAACATGAACTATATAGATCTCGTCTTTGGTCTGTAGTTTTACGTTAAGGTTTTACGTAGTCGGGTCTTTCCTTTTCTGATGTTTTGAAGCGATTCATAAACGGATGGGAAATCTTTACTTCAGTAACAATATCATTTCAGAATCATTGCAGAAGAATGTGTTCAAGATCTTTGTGTGGACACCTCACTGAACGTTACATCCTTCTGCTTGATTAGCAGTGTACATAGACAGCTGTTGATATAAAAATCATTTTAATGTGTTGTAGAGTTAAATATGCAATAATAATGATTAAAATCTGTGTGACAACTGTAAATGACTTTGTTGTTGAATATATGGTGTGTGTGTTTTAACCTGGTGCATTATTCACGGGAAAGAAACTGTTTTAGCTTTAGAACAATACTACAAAGTTTGTTAAATATGAAAAACTCAAACTGGTAAATGTTGCTAGTACTTCACTGAAAAATGACATTGTCTTTTAAAAAAATAAAATTTTACACTTAACCCAAATAACTGGGTTTAAAACTACCGTCCATAATCAATATAAATCGTTTTTTCCCCCTCAATTATGTGTTTGCTATCAAACCAAATTGTCCATAGTAGGACAGCTATATATAAAGTTGAGGTAACAGCAAGTTTAGCATTCTGAAAGATTAAAAACCGCTTTTAAACAAAGTGGACATTTCCTGGTTTGTAGGCTGTGCAATTTCTGTGATACACCGTCAGTTGCCATAGAAAATCATTATAACTCATCCCTCAGTTTGTAAGAAATAACACAAAAATCGTGTTTACACTAACGCACAAGCCTATGTGACAGGACCCATTTAAACATTAAATATGAAAAGTAAAGCTAAAAGAATTTAAATTGTGCATTTAATATGAGACTAGTTTGATAAAGTCACTTACTGACCTTCTTTGTCCAAAGCTGTAATTCCTTTCATGACCACTAATAATTATAGCTGATACGAATAATGTAAACACTTTAATTACCGTTAAAACCGTTTACTTGAAAAGCGCGCGGTTGCCATATTTCGTTATTTCGGGCTATTTCGTTAAGTCCTAATTTACTTAAGGTTAATTTCATTTTTTTATTATTATGTGATACAGTACATAATATTATACATATTTAAAAATACAACATTTTGTATAGAAACACTAATACATGATTTAGCAAAAATAGCTACAAGCTACACGTTTTAACTTCTACATTTTAAGAATGTTTTTCCTAAAAAAAAAGAATATGTTATTTTCTCTAGTAACTGACAAGATGACGCACTTGGTGCATAGAGCTTAAAGGTCTAGTTGCACACCGAGTCCAAAATTCTTAATTTTAAATTAAAGTTAAAAAAATTAATATGGCCTCATGTTGTGGCAATCACATTTACACACTGCCTCCGAAACTTTCGTCGGGCTATTTCGTTAAGTCCTAATTTACTTAAGGTTAATTTCATTTTTTTATTATTATGTGATACAGTACATAATATTATACATATTTAAAAATACAACATTTTGTATAGAAACACTAATACATGATTTAGCAAAAATAGCTACAAGCTACACGTTTTAACTTCTACATTTTAAGAATGTTTTTCCTAAAAAAAAAGAATATGTTATTTTCTCTAGTAACTGACAAGATGACGCACTTGGTGCATAGAGCTTAAAGGTCTAGTTGCACACCGAGTCCAAAATTCTTAATTTTAAATTAAAGTTAAAAAAATTAATATGGCCTCACGTTGTGGCAATCACATTTACACACTGCCTCCGAAACTTTCGTCGGTCTTTAAAGGGGTCATATGATGCGATTTCAAGTTGTCCTTTCTCTTTGGGGTGTTGCAAGCTGATTGTGCATAGATAAGATCCCTGAAGTTGCAAAGACTAAAGTCTCAAAACCAAAGAGATATTCTTTATCAAAGTTAAGACTCAGCCACGCCCCCCTAAAACGGCTCGTTCTAACACGCCCCCACACATCTTCCTCACTATGTGAAAATATTTGCATAATGCGCCCAAATGTTCACACAAAGAAAGAAGGCGTGGTTTTAGAAACCGCAGTTAGTGTTGAAGCAGCATGTCAGGGAGATGCTGTGTGTTTCTAGGCGAAAGCAAAAGCACTTTATTTGGCCTTCTGAAAGTAGATGCATTTAGGAATCTTTAAGATTACTTACAACAGAACAGCAATGCATTTTATGGACGACCGTTTCGTGAACCTAGGAGAGGAGGTAATTCTGACTTTGCTATGACAATCTGGCACTTCTGAATCAGCTACTGTTTTGTTATTAGTTTAAGTATTTGCTATTGACTGTTCAAATACAGACTTTTGCGCATCGTGTGTGTGTGTGTGTGTGTGAGAAAGAGAGCGAGCGTGAGAGAGAGAGAGAGAACGCGTCACATCACAGTAGAGTCAGCTGTCTTAACCGTGGCTTGTGTACTGCAAACACATACCAGCTTCATCACTGTGTCTGTCACGCGACTCTGTTCCCCTTTCGGGCTCTGTCTTTACATTTATTTTGAAAGATGAAGCTCGCGATTATGGTAAGGGGCGTTACATTTCCGACGAGTGCTTGCGGTGTTCGGCCAATCACAATGCACTGGGTCAGCTGGCCAATCAGAGCAGACTGCGCTTGTCGGAAGGAGGGACTTTGTAGAAAACGAAGCGTTTGAGAGAGGCGGGGCATAGAGGACCTACAATAATGTACAGTATTTGAAAAATAATGTGTTTTTTGAACATTAAAGCATGTCAACATATTCTGTTACACCAAATACACAAAATAATGATCTTTAAAAAAAAAACATCATATGACCTCTTTAAAAAAAATAGATCAGGTTCGTTTTTCTGCGTTTTCACATCCATAGCAAGCATTTTGATAGGAAAGAATGACGAATATGAAAAAAAACTGAAGAACACACACGAACATTTTCGACTAAGCGTGCAAAGACTTTAACTCTAGATCATTCTTTACTAAAAATATTTTTTAAAAATGATTAACGTTTTACTAGAATAAAAAAAAAATTGTAGGCTACTTAAATTGATTAAAATAAAACATGAACAAACAGTGAATGCAGCACAGTTGTGAATTTATTACTTATTACAGTGAACACAGAGCTGGAGGGAAAAATAATCATACATATGAGAAAAGGATAAAAAAAAACTCTTCTAAAGCTTAAAATTAATAGAACACTAAGGAAAATTAAAAAAAAAGTCTAAAACACTGTACTGTCTATCAACACCATTCCCCCCAATGGGCTTCAAAAAAAAAAAAAAAACACACTAAAAGTTGTCAGTAACTCAAAACACAAAATGTGCATAAAACCCAAACACAACCAATTATGCTAAGTCTATTTTATGATCTTATTAGTAAAGTAACAATTCCTTTGGTTCAAAAAGTCAAAATCCTGCTCAAAGCCGTTCATATGTTCGGTCCCTCAGGATTTGGTATTACATGTAACACTCTTCAAGAACAGCTTCATCAGTAAAAGTATGTGATTGTGTTAGTTCTTATATAAAACTAAATCGTATATGCCTTTCTGAGAAAAATACCGTTAGTTAAACACATGCCTCAGTAAATGAGGACGGATACACAAACCCCCACGATCCTTTTCAAATGCATGCCTTTGTGAAAATTGCACATGTTAGTGTGTTAATATGTAACGTCAAAGGGAGCAAAACCATTAATGTCTCCTTTTCATGAAATTATTGCATCCATAAATGTTAATATTATAGTCATCACCAAGTCAGATGAATGAATCACCTAAAGAAAAAAAAAATTACTTAAAATCTAGCTTGTTCAAATACAGTATACTAATTCAGCATTGTTCCCTTTTTTAAATTGCTTTCAAATAATCAAATAATATTAGCTTATTGGTTATATATGCCCTCTAGATATCATTGGCCATTTAAAAACTAATGTCTGATCAACCACTAGTGAAAAATACAGAAACTTGTTCGCCACTGAAGGAAGGGAAAAAAAAAAAAAAAAGGTAACTGCAAATTTTAATCTCAGCAAATCTTTTTTTATTGTTATTATTTTAGAATTGCGTGATATAAACTCACAATTGCTTTTTTCACAATTCTGAGAAAAGTCAGAAAAAAAGCGTAGAATCGCGAGAAAACCGTAGAATCGCGAGAAAAACGTAGAATCGCAATAAAAAATTAGAAATGCGACGTTAATATGTCACAATTCTGACTTTATAACTTGCAATTGCGACTTTATTTTTTATTCAGTGGCAGAAACAGGCTTCCATGTGAAACTGGAAACTGGCTCAGATATCGGTTATCAGTGAATCGTAAATCCAGAAATCTTGTGCTTTAACCGTCTGTGTAGAATAACCCTGAATGCCAAGTCTGTAACATATCATGTGTGATGACACAAAAATGACCTTATTGTGCAATTCTTCCATCTTTTAAATTCTAAACCTCTTCAAAAAGGCTTTTCTTCATGAACCGGTGTGCCAGTCATTTCTTGACGCAGCATCTCAGTAGTCTTTTCGGTGTAAATGCTGCATGCATGCATAGCATAGCTCGTTTAAAAGCATGCTTGACAAATGTGCCAATGGAATCAAGTACTTTTCTCTATAAACATACTCTGAACATGTACAAGTGTGCCAATGTTTTGCATGAGCCTGGTCCTGTTGTACATGCACATTTATGTTACTTTTGTGATATCAAACCTTAAGGGGGCGATTGAGTTTCCTTAACATGAGAAACTGACTGTAGAAGTCATCCATTTGCACTAATGCCCACTATAGCGCCCCTTATGGTGATGCATGAGAATGCAACAATTTACTAAGAAGTATGAAATCAAGCTTGCGTAGCCAGAAGTGTATGCATTCACATACTTGTGTAGAGTATGTTTCGGCCCATAAGTTGACTTGATACTGCAATAAAACTATACAAATACTTTCTGCATATTTCCGCAGCTCTTCTCCAGCCTTAAAGGAGTTCACCTAAAATCAAAATTGACTCACCCTCAGGTCATCCAAGATGTGGATGATTTTTGTTTCATCAGAACAGATTTGGAGAAATGTAGCATTACATCACTTGCTCACCAATGGATCCTCTGCAGTGAATGGGTGCCATCAGAATGAGAGTCCAAACAGCTGATAAAAACATCACAATAATCCACACCACTCCAGTCCATCAGTTAATGTCTTGTGAAGAGAAAAGCTGTGTCTTTGTAAGAAACAAATCCATTATTTTTAACTTTAAAATATGAGTCCGTAATCCATATCATCGCTTTCTCCAGTAAAAAGTCATCTCGTCTGAATCAGGAGAGAAATATGCAAAGATCAAGCACCGTTTACAAGCGAAAAACAGTCCAAAACAAATATGTTGGTGGATTTTGATGTGAGAGGACAACAGGGAATGGATTT